TATATTTTTAACTTTGCGTTTTCAATGCTATATATATTAAACATTCGTATTTCCTATATTAAGAGTATGGCATCAAAAATTTCTAATCATTAAATGAGTCAGGCAAAATAAAATTTATCTTAAGCATTTAAAAAAATGAAAACTGAATGTTTTGGAAAACAAAAAGTTTTATAAAAGCAAGCATTCTTGAAAAACCTAGAAAATACTGTCTAGCAGATAGAGGGACAACAAAAGTAAACAATATATCTGAAAACAGGGAAAAGGCCATGTAAATTAAGTCTACTTAGCTGTCAACTGTAACTGAAAAATAATTTAATAAAAAATGCCTATGTAGCAAATGTCTTTTAAAATATTATGTAGGAAAATATATATAAAATAAGTGGGAAGAAAAATTCATATACATAATTACAATCAGTTAAAATGATAACATAAAAAATATCAAAAATATTTTTTAAATCTACTGTATAATTAAAGGTAGATAAGACAAATAGACCAGTAGAATAAAAGAGAGACTACATTCCCATGTATATATGGGAATTAAGTATAAAAGAAATGGTATTTCATAGCATGGCAAAAATGGCATTTCATAGCATTTCACAGACTGAGTCATTAATTATTCATTAATCAATAAACAACGAGGGGAGATTATCATTCTCAAATTATTAGTTAGATCCCAACATTACACATATCAGAAACAAAAAAATCCTAACAGATAAATTAGAAAAAGAAAAAAAAAAATCCTACAAAACACAGCATAGTATTTTTATAGTTATGAACTGAGGCCATCTTAATTATATCCAGAAAGCCCAGAATCTCTAAAAGCAAAGACAAATATTAATAAACAAACTCAGAACCAAACAGAAAAGTAGTCAAAAGATACAGGGAATACAAATAAAATGACTAATAAATATTTTAAAAAGATGGTCAAAATGAATGAAAAAATAATTGTTAACCTATCAGATATACAAAAATTTAAAAGAGCACTGACATTCAAAGTGGGTAAGGTTATACAGGAAAAGATGCACTCACACTGCAAGGAATTAAAAAATGCCTAACCCTCTAGAGGGCTTATGTATACTATCAACACTTAAAAACATACACTCCCTTTGACCTAGCTATTCTACTTATGAGAATCAATTCTACAGATATTCCTGCACAGCTATACAAACCTGCTAGCACCAGGATGTTCTTTAAGATACTACATATAATGCACAAACTAATAAAAGCAGCTTAATGGATGCAATCTGACATGAGAATAGGGACAGAAACTAAACAAACATCATACAATAAATACTATGCCCTCATTTTTTAAATGAGTTAATCTGAATATACTGATATAAAACTGCAAAAGATAAACACAGTCCTCTCTGACAGCTTTCCCATCCTTATTTCTAGAACTTAGAACTATGATTGATTTTGCCTTTTAATAGCTATCAAATTGTGATTTCCAATTTTCTACAGAAGCCTAGCAATTTAAACTAGGTCATGTACTATGAGATACACAGGAATTTTATAAAAGCATGCTTCCTTATACACCAACTACATCATGAAAAAAAGTATCCAAAATTGAGCAAAAACATCATCTTACTGAATATGAAGAATTTCTGATCTCTATACTGCCTCCTTTCCAAAAACATAAAAATCAAAATGTCAAAGTCGTCTATCCATGAAAGCTTTCTAAAATAATAAGCTAAGTGGGTAATAGTTTATACAATAATTTCAACATCTAAATGGTGAGATGATTCCCATAGCAATCTATGAAAGATTTTACAAATATAAATTAGATGTATCAATAGTCTATTTTAAGTTATCTACTTGATAACCAGCTAAAGTTAGCCATAAGTTTCAAAACTAATAATTCATAATTTCCCAAATTAAAGAAAAAACCCTTCATGTTTTCATTCACAACAAATGCTTTAATAATGGCCTCCTTAAGAAATATGATATAGCCAATTCCTGAACTTTTACTTGACATTATGTCCCATTAAAATAAAAAAGAATAATTAATAACACATCAATACCTGGTCGATCACAGTTGATGTTCAAAAATGGATAACTATTTGATAATATCACAGCTGACTTGGTAAGTATAAATCTTGACCTCTTAGTCTCAACTATAAAGTGATATCACCTATGCAGTACAAAAAATGTCTATGTATCTCAAATCATTTTCCTATCTTATGACAAAGGAATCACTTAGTTACAAATGATAATTTACAAAAAGTTCTGTGGAATAACCTCCTAGTTTATTAGAAACCTAAGTATTTCTTTACTTGTAAAAAATGTTTAACATAATTTAGGTGGCGCCTGGCCGGGCGTGGCTCAGCGGTTGAGCGTCGACCTAGGATCCAGGCGATCGGGGTTCAGTTCCCGGTCACGGCACATGCCCAGGTTGCGGGCTACAGCTGATCAATGACTCTCATCATTGATGTGTCTATCTCTCTCCCTCTCCTTTCCTCCCTCCGAAATCAATAAAGATATATTTTNGTCTATCTCTCTCCCTTTCCTTTCCTCCCTCTGAAATCAATAAAGATATATTTTTNCGGCACATGCCCAGGTTGCGGGCTACAGCTGATCAATGACTCTCATCATTGATGTGTCTATCTCTCTCCCTCTCCTTTCCTCCCTCCGAAATCAATAAAGATATATTTTTAAAAAGAAAAAATTTAGATGGTTTCTTTATAATATTGTCATGCTGGGAAAAAAAAACCACACTAAAAAACCTCCTAGAAGACTTTATTTCAAGACAGTGGTTACCTCTGAGGAAGGAGGAAGCAGGAATAGTTATAGAGATGGGGCTTAGGTTTTGCTGTAAATCTTACATTTCAAGTAAAACTTAAAAGCAAATATGTCTTTCTGGAAACTGATTCCCTGGGTTCTAAACCACCTACTACCTCTCTGTGACCTTGGGCAAATGCCTCAGTTTCCTTACCTGTAAAATGGGGATAGTAATACTTCCTGCTATATCGGATTAAATGAGCTGATATATGTGAAGTGCTTAGAATAGTACCTGATATACATGGTAAATGTTATTGTAATTATTGTCAGCCTCATCACGCACTGGAAAAAGGGGGTGAGGAGGGTAGAATCTGTTCTATTTTCTACATTTACATTTCAAACATAAATTCTATTTTTGTAACCAGTGACAAATAACCAACGTAAGTGAGAAAGAAGTATAAAGTAGAATAACAAAGTTTCAGTTCTCTCTTCAATTTTTAAAAACATGAGACAATACAGGCTTTGGAGTTTGATATTTATTTTTAGCAGGAAGAATATGCTAATGATGATGACCTCGTTAGAAGATATGCCACGTCCAATACCTGCAACAGAAGCTCAATAGAAGTTAAAGAAACCATACCAAAAGACTAAAGACAAAAAATGTGGACATTACTTACCCTTAATTCTGCTAACAGTAAAACAAGTAATGATATGTTTAAGATTAAAGTTCCATTACAAGGTCAAAAACTGGTAAGTTTTAACTATCAAAAGTATCTTTTAAACAAATTCTATCTTTTCCTTTCTATGGAGAACTGGACAACTTCTCTAATGGCAGAGAGAGCATGGTGTCAACGACTATGTTTGAGAGTATACAGGGTGAGGCAAAAGTAGGTTTACAGTTGTTCATATGCAAAATAATATAATAATTAATACAGAAATAAACTCTACACAGACAACAGTATGGTGATTACTAGAGGGAAAGAGACGGGGGAGAGATAGAAGAGGGTAAAGGGGGGATAAATGGTGAGGGTAGACTTGACTTATAGAGATGATGTATTATAGAACTGTACACTTGAAACTTATATAATTTTATTAAACAATGTCACCCTAATAAGTTCAATAAAAAATAAAAATTAAACTGTTTTGCATACTCACAACAGTAAACCTCCTTTTGCCCCACCCTGTATGTGAGGAGAGAAAGAACAAAATGAAAAGGGGTAATGCTAAATTAAGAATTAAGAAATCGGGGGGTGTGCTGCTGGTACTTCATCAGGTAGATGCTCTCACAGGTAGAAAACACAACCATCTATGGCACAATTAGTTTGCTGAAACAAGAACTAAACACTATAGAAATGCTTGAATTATACGGTCTTGACATACATACTTGGGGGGAGGGGATAAACATTAATGAAAAGCAACTTAGAGGTAGTATCATAACTTACTACAAATTTCAAAGAACAATCTCTAAATAAAGGCATCCAGATAAATTAGAAATTCTACATATTATTAGAATAAGAAATTGCTACAGCAGTATACAATTTAAACAAAAATTAGTCAAACGAAAGTTTCTTTTAAATAAAACCAAATCTGGTTCATCCACTTCTGACAAAGATTCCTCTGCTGAAAGGAAATATGAGTGTGCTTCTTTTTTTTACTGCTGCACCTCCAGATTTCTCATCAACAGTATCAATCATCACTCGATTTAAAGGGTGTGTATAAGCTGGGAGTGGGGTAGGAATATGTTAAGCATCAGGATCAGGGATAAAACAAAGAAGTGACTTAAAATTACCTTCCTGAGCAAAATTGATGAATTGTTCAGGAACAGAGACGGGGAACTAGCATACCCACAACAAATTCTATGCCCTGAAGTTTTTTTTTATTTCTTAATTGTATACCCAAAAGATTCCATGTACTCAGAACAGGAATTAAATATTTCCAACCATAATTTACTGAACTTGACACCAGACTTTATAACTGCTATTTTCCCATTATTGTGTTCTTGAAACTAAGGATTTTAATTCATAAATTACTATAACTGGAATCACATATAAATACATTTTAAATGCAACCAATTCTGCTAATTCAAATATCTAAATTTACTTAGATGGATTGACTTGATTCAAGTAGAAACACATTAATGCAAGTAACTTACCTGGGTTACTGTCTAAAAAGGGTCTATGTCAAATAAATGCAAAAATGTGCAGAAATATCAAGATATTTTAAAATCCCTACCAAAAAAGAAATTAATTAAATAAACACTAAAGAAGGAAAAGGTTACGCACTTCCAATTTATGTTCTTTCTCTGCAAGGGCTTCCTTTTGACAACGAAGAAAATCTGCTAACATTCGAGTGAGTTGTTTCCTATCATCTATTTCAGCAGCCAATCTGCCATTATAATCTGCCAGCAACATACAAGCATCCTCTACCATTTTAGAAAGCCTTTCTCCAGATTCTTTATCTAAGAAAAGCACAGAACAGTAAAATTATTACAAAACAAAAACAATGCCATATACTGTTTGTTTCCTCACCCCCGAACTCCCCCCAAAATTCAGATCACATTTAGGACGTCTTACCTGTTATCTTATCTAGTAGGGATACTTCTTGGACTTCAACAGGCAAAGAAGCTATCCTCTGATGAACTGCTGCATCACCTGTGGCAGCATTTTCTAGATCTTGTAATGCTCTAACGAGATCTAGAGTCTAAAAAGTTATACATCTTTAGAACCAAAATAAATGATTTTTTAAAACTTTATCTTTATTGTTGGAAGTATTACAGATGTCCCCCATTTTTCCCCGTTGACCCCTTCCACCCTGTACCCACTCCCCAAAATAAATGAATCTTAAACNATTTTTCCCCATTGACCCCTTCCACCCTGTACCCACTCCCCAAAATAAATGAATCTTAAACACAGAAGATAAAATTTATTTCATATGTCTTAATTCTTATGAGCTACATACAAGTTCAAAGTTTCCAACATCAATTGCTTTAGAAGACACTCCATTTCTTTTATATATTAAGAAAAAGAAGCTACACTATGGTAGGTACTGGAAATATATAAATTGGAAACATATAACTGAGATGTGGCCCTTGGCCATAAGGAACTCCCACTCCAGTGGTGGAGACAGTGTAAAAATAATTATTTGACTATTAAATTGATGTGACTGATTTCTTTCTGCCAAATACACACAGTGGTAAAAGGGAAGGCAGACTGGAGAATACAAGTTTTATGTATGATGTATATTCACTATATTATCAATATATATGAGGATTTTTAATATAAAATTGAAGACTGGGGGAGGGGGATTCAAATCATCATCTATCGCAACATAGAAGAGTCTCCCAGACTCCGTTTACAAATGATGTAATTAAAACAAAAGAAAAATGTAGTTTTGGAATATGCTTAAATATGGTTCCTTCAATTATTCTACAGTTTTTAAGAAGATCATTAAAATATCACAAAGTTCCATATATCTGATAACTAATATTTATATAATGCTTAACCAGTATAAAAACTATTTTATTAGAATATTTTAGTTGCACTGTTTCATAGACCAGCTATAATTAGGAGGGAAGGGCAAATCTTTGCTGGTGATTTCAGAATCATAATGTCTATAAACTTATTCCAAAGAAAAATGACTAAATTTTCTTTTTACTAGTCTCCATCCCACCCCACCTCCTTTCTTTTCTTTTTTTCCCCCTTTAATCTCTAAAACTAGATCCTGGAACACTAGGTAATTATACACATACTTGAAAAATACTGGAAATTACCAATTCTGTGTATATATTAAGATGACTCTGACAAACAGTTAATTGATTTTTAAGTTATTCCTTTACAAAAAATGCTATCACTGGGGTCTAGCACATAGCAAGTGATTAAACATCATAAGAATGAATGGAACCCAGTAAGAAATATGTATACTTTTAATTCATTACTATATGTTTCAAATCCCAATATAAAAAATAATAATTTAATTATAAGATAAATCCCTTCTACAATGAAAGTGAGCTTAAGAGCAGTGACAATTACCAGGAAGCTTGTTTCTCATGGTGCCCCAATTCACAAATATATATACAGGTGTGAACAAAAGTAGGTTTACAGTTGTGAGTACACCAAACACAGAGTTTATTCTTATATTATTATTAATTATTGCATTATTTTCCATACGAACTGAAAACCTACTTTTGCCGACCCGAGGGAGAATGCACGCGCGCATGTGTAATTTTTTCATCAGTATTAGAGTTCTAAAATTTTCTGGAGCTCTAAGAAGAAGCCTGGCTTCATGGTCTTGACAATGTATGCATGCTTTAACTACAACTTATTCTCATCACATCTTCACATTCCCACGAATTAATTCCAAATTCCTACTGCTGAGGCAAGGATCAGGTAAGAAAGCACAGCTGTTATGAAACAACACTAGCCTAGGACTTTCTAACAGGGGAGAATAAAATGAGTTCAACTGGATCCTACAAAGAAAAATTTTAATCATTCTTATAAAGAATGATAGAAATAAAATGCTGTCTACAAAACTGAAACACTGAGAATTAAGCAGTACAACTCATCTGAAAGTGGTAAATATAAAACAAAAAGCAACAAAATTTTAAAAAACATAAAACAAAAAAGTGAAAAGCAACAATATTTATAAAAGGACTAGAGAAGAAGCAGATGGTTTACTCAGATACTCCTAAGAAATACAACTGAGGTTACTCCTTCATCAGGAACAGTAGGAAAGGGTCAGACCCTGTATCTAGAACTCAGATATCTAACTACTGTTCATGTAACAATAAAGCTCTTAATACAAAGGGATTCTCTGTCTTATTACCAAATAAAAAGAAACATAAACCTTAGCACTTGGTTGTTTCAAATGTTATGTTCTTATTACTTTTCTATCAAGCTCTTATCCATGGCAACCACACTGGCTTCTGCATTCCTGTAACTGAATCAATAGGTAGTTCGGCTCAGGCCCTAGTGGAGCACCTTGGTCGGATTCTTTCTGCCTCCCTAGTACTAATACTGATATAAATCCACAGTTCTAGAAGTAATCAGTTGTACCTTTCTTTCAAGCTCCTTTCATGGGGGAAAGAGCTCTACCCAGCCTCTGGTTTAATGCAATGAGTTTGGGTCCAGTCCTCCAGCTCCCATGGAGCACTCTGAGTTCTTGTTAACCCTCTAGGATATTAATTTCTGGCAACCCATGTCTGCTTCCAGATCAAAGCTCAGCAGGAACCAGGCTCTAGCTCACATATTGAATTATGTTTCTGTACCATTTCTAGCCCACCATGATATTTACCTTGTTTTAAGAGTATGGCTATGTCTTCATTTTCGCCTTTTAAATTTTATCTGTCCCTCCTATATGTTTGAAACATAGAAGGAGGAAGCTTTAAGACTCAATGCCCACATAATTAAAAGTTTAAAATGTCTTTCTGGAATCATCTAATGGTTAAGGAATTCTATACTGTACCAATCTGGGAGGACATGGAATATTAAGTTAATGATTCTAATCCATCTTATCTTACCATGAAACTACATGGTCCCATTATAGTCACAAAGAATTGTATAAATATATACTTGTTACTCTAACACTCGTTTGCTACATATTTAAAAGCAAAAATACTTAAAAGGGCAGTGTTATTTCTAGAAATGAAATGTTTCGTGTACTTAATTCATACAACAAATAGTCTTATATAATGTTTTATTTATTTAAAAGGAAATTGTTTAAATAATGGCTATCTCACCAGACCTAATCATACTAAGCAATCAGAAATCCTCTTTCTATGTAAAATATGATTGCCCTAATATACAGTACACAACATATTACATTAACCCTATTAATCATAAAATACAAGATATTCATGTAATTTCTTTCTTGTACCGAGAAGTATAATAAAGATCTATTTGTAATAGTAAAACACTGAAATTAATACAGCTTGGTGGCCACATGAAGTGACTCCCTTAACAGAGAAAAATTTCTACCTGTGGTGGTTCACTTGGAGATCCCAGAGAGGAACAGTTTTCATTTTCATCCACCTTTATCTGTTCATAAGTTCGCTTTCTAGACTTCTTATCGCCATCTGAATTGAAAGAAAATTTAAGTTTTAATGAAAGAATATTTTTTGTTGTCATTGTTCCACTTATTTAGGCATTCACTGGTTGATTCTTGTATGGACCGGACGGGATTGAACCCAAAACTTTGGTGTATCAGGACAACATCCTAACCAACTGAGATACCCAGCCAAGGCCAAATGAAAGAATACATTTTAATGAAGTGATCATGATAAAAGAGTATATACTTACACAGAGCATGTTTAAGTTGTTCTAATACATCATTTTCATAAACAGACCTTTCTTCCCAAATAGATAACACTCTTCCAAGGTGCCTCTTACAACTTTCATCAGTTTCACTACAGAAAAAACAAAAATATTAACAGTAAAAATGCATAGTGCTATTGAGAAGATATTGGTGATTAAATACAATAGACATTCATTCCCTGAAAAGAGCTGTCCAAATGTTTACTGAGCACCAACCACTATATGACCAGCAGTTCAGGGGGGCAGTAAGAAGACAGACATACTTCTTGTTTCCCTTAAAAACATACTATTAAACCAAAAAAATGCAAATGTGTTAGTACTGTCTACTGGCTACTAGGGGTTTACAAAGAAGATACCCCTAACCTAATGGGTGTTAAACATGAGGCTATGGAAGATTCTAACAGATTTTGAAATTCACTCAACAAATATTTATTAATCAAGGCACTATCTTTGACATAGAAGATACAAAGGAGCTTTATGGCAGCTGTTTTTGTAAGTGCCACAAAAGAGAACAAGGTGTTAAAGACAGGCACAACAGAGAGACCTGGCCCAGGTCTAGAGAGATGAGGAAGGGTATTTCAGGAAGTGACATTTGAGATCTGAAGATTGGATACACAGAGAAGTGGGAAACAGACTACTCCCAGGCACTTCCTAATGGCTTCATCATTACCACTATAGACTGAGTCACTATTATCTCTGGCTCGGATTTTTTAAGTCCTCTCATTGGTCTCCCAGACTCTACTCTTTCACTATTCTCTACCAATGTGAATTAGAACACACTGATTTTCTAAGTGCTGTGAATACCACGAATAAACTCAAAATTCTTATCCTGGGCCACAAGATGGACATCTTCTGCTTCCTGTCTACCTCAGTTCATGTACAAATCTCCTTGCTGATCCTCAAACATGCCAAGCACAGAGCTGTCTCAATGTTTCTGCCAAGTATTCTCTCTACTTAGAATCCTTCCCTCCTATACAGTCACATGGCTCATTTCATCCTTTCTTTTAGTTTCTGTTGAAATGCCACCTCCACAAAAGTCACATTTTATCTCATGATATAACTGAGCTCCTTCTTATATTTCTACTTCCTTCCCTGCTTTGTTTCTTCACAGTACTTATTTCTTGGCATTATATTTACTTTTCTATCCAGTTATTACCTGTGTTATCCACTGAAATGTAAGCAAACTCCACTAGAACAGAACTTTGTCTAGTTCGCTATTGTATCCTCAGGGCCTAGCATATAGTAGGCAGTCAATAAATATTTTCTTGAATTCTAGAGAGATACCATATATAAATAAAAGTCTAAAGGCAGAAAGAAATAAAAGAGGTTTGGTTAGTTTAACCTGCAGACTATAGTGTATGTGTGTGGAAGCAACGTGAGAGAGGAGTCTGAAGAGGTAGACATAGCCATGAAGGAACATCTTTTTTTTTTTTTTTAATGTTTTTATTGATTTCAGAGAGGGAGGAAGAGAGAGAGAGAGAGACAGAAACATCAATGATGTGAGAGAGTCATTGACTGGCTACTTCCTGCACCTCCCCACTAGGCATCCAGCCCACAACCCGGGCATGTGCCCTGATCCGGAATCGAACCTCTTGGTTCATAGGTAGATGTTCAACCACTGAGCAACACCGGCTGGGTGAACATCTTTATTTTTATTATTATTTTTAAAATTTATTAATTTTAGAAAGAGTAGAAAAGGAGAAGAAAGGGAGAGGGTAGAAGGGAGAGGGAGAGTGAGAGTGAGTGAGAGAGAGAGAGAGAGAAACATCGATTTGTTGTTTCACTTATGCATTTGTTGGTTGATTCTTGTATGTGCCATGACCAGGAAATGAACCCCCAACGTTGGCACTCTAACCAACTGAGATACCCAGACAAAGATGAAGAAACATCTTAAGTCTAGCTTAGGACATTAGACTTGATCTCTAGGACAAATGAGAACCACTCCAAGGCAAGAGTGTTATGATAAGCTCTGCAACTCTGGCTAGTTTCCTAAAAGGATTAAACAATTCTGGAGGCTATTGCAATTATACAGAAATGACAGTATCGTAATTGGGATGAAAAGAAATCTAAAGAACTGAGGGAACTATATGTTGTCTATGGGATAAGGGGAGTGAAGGAGAAAGGACAGCATGAGATATCATAAATCACAATATCACAGAGTCAAAGATGATACTTAACTGGAGCTGCCATTCACTGAGTGAATGAAACCTAGAATAGAAGCAGTATGACAGGGAGCAAGGACATAATGAATTCAATATCAGACACAGAGAGTTTGAGCTATTCCGAGGCACACAACTAGAAATACAATTGGACATGAAGTCTGAAAGAAAAAACATCTGGACTGGAGCATAAGATTATAAGTTATTAGGGTGTGGATGATAAGTAAGTACAGCAGTGCATGAAATCGTCCAGAGGGCAAGTGAAGAATATGACTCCAGAAGAGGGCCTAGGACTGAACTCTAAGATTTAAATACCAACATCTGAAAAGATGGTAAAAGACAGTATCTAAATTAAAGGATAAAAAATATTCAAGCCCAGCTGGCGTGGCTCAGTGGCTGAGCGTTGGTCTACAAACCAGGAGGTCATGGTTTGATTTCCAGTAGGGGGAACATGCCCGGGTTGAAGGCTCCCTCCCCAGTAGGAGGAGTACAGGAGGCAGCCAGCAGATCAATGACTCTCTCATCGTTTCCCCCCCCTTCCCCTTTCTCTTTCTGAAATTTATCTATCTATATACATCTATATATACATATTTTTAAAGAAAGCAACATACAGCAGTATTTCACTCTGTAATTTTTTTTAAATGCATCCAATGTGACCAAAACTGTAGGGCATATGGTGAGTGTATTTTCATCCTTAAATCATTCAACACAAATTATCATTCACCACTGAATTCTATAATTTTGACTGATTTAACAGTCTATCCCAACAATGTTTACCCAGCAACTGACCAAATATTTGCATGTTTGGAAATAAGCATTTAAAAAGGGCATAAGCCAAAGTAGACTCCTATACACTCAGAATCTTTCTGTAGCAAAATTTTTCAACAGGTTTATAATTATTTTAAGTATTCTATATTTCCAAAGCATTTAACAATGTTATAACATATACCAACACACTAGAAAAACCTTAAAATCATTATAAGCAATGAGGAAAAAACATACTAAGTTTATCCTGGAATACTGATAGCTTTATAAGCCACAAATTTTCATTTCATTCCAATATGGCAGTTGCTTTTGGTCCCTTTAAAGAAAGCTGTAATTCAAGTACTCCAAATGCCCACCTTAACAACAGTTCCAAAAAAATTTCCTTCACAGAAAGTATGTAATACATTTACAAATGCCATTTATAGATAAGTCTTTTCAAATAAAAACTTCAAAGAAATACATCCCCTAGTTTTTATTTTAATGGCTTAAGGCAACTTTAGCAAAAGGACATATTATGCATTTAAAACAGATTACCTAGTACCCAAAACAATGATCATACCTTGAAACATGCTTAAAAGCCTCCACTATAACTGGTGCAAAATCTTTTGTAAACTCCGGTCCCTTCCTTTTGCTGTTCTGAATGACATCATTGGCTAGGTAGAGAAAAGTAAGCTTCCTGTTTGGTTTGGCTGAAAAATAAAAAAATTTTAAAATCTACTTAAAATATCCTCACTTAACTTGAACAAACTTTCTCAATACCTGAATTAAGCAGTTTGAGAACTACAACAAACCTACTAACCTTTATTTATAATGTTCAACCCTAGCTTCTCATTCTACAACCAAACTTATCAAGCTACTATTTTTCAACTTACCAGGATAGCTACTCTGTGGTTTCTGGAGTTCAACCATGTGAAGAAAAAAGAGAACTCAAGAGGCAGAGGTAGTCAATGATATATCTTTCTGTTTCCTTTGCAATTTTATTAAGTCACCCAAACTACTTTTCCTTGATGGCTAGTCTTATTGCTATTCCCAAACTAATACTTTTATACACTGAAATCCTCATGTCTGTACAAAAATGCATCTCTGTGACTATCCTGTACACAATTTTATTACAACTATTAAGCACTATATGAAATCCAGTCTTTTAAAAATAATTCGCAAACAAAAAATCAACTACAAGGCTTCAAAAAACAGTCTGGGATATTAGATAAACAATATGAAACAATCAATCAGGATTACAGAAATGCCATCTAATTTCGCTAATTCACAATTAGTTCATAATCTAGTTTTATTTATTCATAATCAGAAAGTGATAGGGTCATTACTCGTTTCTTAAACTATACAGACCATATGCCTACTCAGTTTGATATAATGCAAAATATCATAATCTAACTTAATCAGCCATGTTTCCATGAAGAATGAAATTTAAAACCACAGATGACAAAGCTGATAAACACAATAGCTAAAATTTATTGTGTTATCTATAAATATAAGAACCTTCTTTCCAGGGGAAGCCTTCTACATGTAGAGAAGCAGCAAAAAATTGAACGTACACACCCCAATAAACATTACTTACTGTAGGTCCTATAGAAGGAAATCAGGAGAAAAGCCATTATCTTGAAACAAAAAAATCTATCAAAGATTTATTAATAATTGCTGGAAAGCCTCATTTATTCCCCTGGTAAACTGAATCACTACAGATTAGACGACATGTTTGGGAGATGCATGGGTGTTATAAGGTACACAATCTACTTTAATTTAGTAATATTCTTTGCCACAGAAAGTGCATAATCTACAGGTAATTTTTAAAAGGACTTTATCTGTCCCAGACTGGACAAAGAGTTCAGTCAAACACAGCTGGCTGCTTCTTAATAGCTGAGGTGGGTGAAAAATGGATAGAGCTGGTATATTCCAGTATCACTGCCAGAATGTACCAGACTTTTGGCAGCCCATCCCTTGCTTTAACTCCTTTAAAGATTTTCTATTTTCTCTAGATAACATTTTAACTCATTATTATGAACCAAAGACCCAAACAAGTCTGTCTCCACTCTCTACACTATTCTCTTCATGCCCACTACCTACTATTACTCCAATTTCCCCAACTCCTACCCATCCTTCAGGCCTATTAAATGGGTTCCTCAACACACAGGTTAGGCAGCCCTGATATGCTCTCATAGCACCCCATTCTTTTCCTATGGAGCACTTAACCCAACTATAATTATTTTTATTTAATCTAGTGTTTTCCAACTAAATGAAATTCCATTGAAAGCATTAACTGTCAATCTCATCAACCAACCTATGAAAATCAAGCCAGGCAGCTGATTCAGAATCTGCTCTCAGAAATCTCAAATTCAAATTATGAAAGACAAACTTTACTACAGATCCAACTGCTCTTGTGAATTTTCAATGTTCTGAATTCAAATATTTTCATTTCCTCCCCTCCATTCTAGAGTTCTCAGAATCAATAATCTATTAAAAAATGGGCAAGTATTGTGATGGGAAGGTCAAAGAAACACAAATGTTAAGCAATTAAAACCAATTACCATTTTCTACCTATTAGATTGATCAAGATGAAAGTATGACACTAACTAAAATTGGCAAGAGTATGGGTAATAGTACCACTGTTAGAAACCTTCTCTGAAATCAATATATATTTAAAAATAAATAAAACTAAAAGTTTCTGCATCTTGTTTAAACATTAAAACAACCCTACAAGTTATTATTTCTATTTACCAATGAAACTATTATTGAAGTAATTAAATGCACTTAAAGAAATGCACTGAAGTCAATCAGCAATCCCAGGACCCATAGTGTGGTTCCTAAATAATACTTTGCCAAGAAGTACATTTCAAAATATATATAAATCAAACCATTAAGCTGTACTCATTAAACTTATATAGTGACATGTGTCAATTATTTCTCAATAAAACTGAGGGTTGTTGCATTTTAAAAAACAGGCAGGAAATACATAAGATGAGCCTGGAACATCTTGTCATGATAGAAAGCTATTTAAAAACTACTGACATTGTATCTAAAGGACACAAGCAATCCTCCAAGAGGCTGGCACTGGACAAAGAAGATCAAAAAGAATGATTACAATGGTCTAAAACACAAACATAAAAATCTATAAATTTATAAAAATCCTTTTAAAAAGGTTGCTAAAAATAAAGTGCCTGCCCAGCACTGTACATTAAAGACTGTCTCTCACAAACACTAGGAAAAGGGACTGTCGTGAGTACAGTATTAATGTGGACAAGAGGATGTTTGTTCTTTCTTTCACATAAGAATATTGCAAGTTTGTTTTATCTTGGATCTGTTCTTCTACCTAATGTTCAACTAGTTCTTCTGGTAGCTCTTCCATTTGGTTCCTTTTCTGTAATTCCTTTATTTCCACTGATGTTTTGTGATAGTTAATTACAATACATTTAACCTATCATGATTTATTTTCTAGAATATTTGAATAACGTGTTAAGTGGTGCAGTGCCCAATTTTAAACATTTAAAATGTAATCTGGGCACAGAATTTAAAGTGAAATTGCATTAAAACATAGGACAACTGTTTTCTTGCCCATTTAAATATTGAAAATATTCAAACTGGAATGGCAATATTCTAACCTTGTAATTTCTGTTAACTTGTTCACATTATTTTATCTATTAGATGTTTTAAATAGCAGTTACTTTTGTTTACATGTATCTACTCTATGGTGGAAATGTTAAACTATTACAGCTTTTGCTACGAACTCTCAGCCACTTAATTTTTAGAGCAGAATATATGTTTTGGAGGGATTTTGTGCTTCACCTGAATTTAGAAGTAATGTCAGAAACTGTCAGGCATGTCCTTTTTTAGAAAATATAGAGTTTATAAAGTTTCTAATTGTCTTATTACCATGCTAATTCAAGTGAGTCAGAAGTATTTAAATGCAATATTGTGCCCGGCAGGGTGTGGCTCAGCGGTTGAGCATCAACTGAGGATCCAGGCGATCAGGATTTGATTTCCAGTCAAGGCACATGCCCGGTCTGGGCTCGATCCCCGGTCGGGGGCGTGCAGGAGGCAGCAGATCAATGACTCGCTCATCATTGATGTTTCTATCTCTCTCTCTCTCCCTCTCCTTTCCTCTCTCTGAAATCAATAAAGATATATATTTTTTTAAAAATTAAATAAATAAATAAATAAATAAATAACTGGCTCAACCCACACTTCCACAACAAATTTAGCCTCACTTCAGTATTTACTTTGTTATTATCCATTCAACAATGTTCCAAAAAGGAAATGTTAGGAAATAGCTGAGCATTACCAAATGACTGCATTTTATTTTTTGGTTAGAAAAATGTTTCCAGGGTCTTTAAAAGATGGATTTTTAAAAATACATTTTTAAAATGATTTTTAAAGAAAGGAAGGGAGAGGAAGAGAGATGTAAGAACAAAACATTGACTGGCTGCCTCCTGCATATCACCTACTGGGGATCAAGCCTGAAGCCAGGGCATGTGCACTGACCGGGAATCAAATTGGCAACCTTTTGGCGCAGGGGAGGATGCCCAACGAACTGCTGAGCCACACTGGCCAGGGCTGATGCTGAATTTTTTTTGTCTTATCCATCTATGGCAGCTAAAAAAAACCCACTCAAAATATTCAGGTTTGCCCAGCCGGGCATGGCTCAGCGGTTGAGCGTCGACCTAGGATCCAGGCGATCGGGTTCGATTCCCAGTCAGGGCACACGCCCGGGTTGTGGGCTTGATCAATGACTCTCATCATTGATGTTTCTATATCTCTCTCTCCCCCTCTCCTTTCCTCTCATTGAAATCAATAAAGATATATTTAAAAAAAAAAAAATTCAGGTCTACATGTTAGCTCTCTCTATAGGGAGTTGTCANATTCAGGTTTACATGTTAGCTCTCTCTATAGGGAGTTGTCATACCTCACAGTTCAAAGTGTATTATATAGATTAGTAACATTATACTAACATGTAACTGCAATTTGCTATGCAAAAATTCAAGAAAAATAACCTATAGTGTCTATACCTTTGTATAGGCAAGTGCTTAAGTTATTCTGTTTTTAACATTTGTACTTAGACAAAATGCTTATGTATGTATAGGAATGTCACAGTGCGAGATGTTGCTAGCCCAGACACCAAGTATTAAAATTATTTTGTGAAGACTGGGTTGTATTAAAACTGTTGCGCCATTATACCTCAAAAAAAGAGGTTGCTAAAGAAATAATTCAGTTGACAATGGGGGAAAAGCAAGCATTTATCTTGCTTTGCCTATATGAACTGTATTTCAGAGTCATCAATGGATGATGAAAGAACATTCTCAATCAACAACTTCAGTGTGTCTCAGAATCCCCTATGGGCTTGTTAAAACATAGATTACTGGTTCCTATGCACATAACTTCTGGTGTGGACCTGGGGTAGAACCCATGAATTTGCACTTTCAATAAATCATCAGGTAATACTAATGCTGCAGCCTGGGGTCCACAGTTGAGAACCTCTGTTATAAAAGAATTCTGGGTAATAAATAGAGAAAGAAGAATTAGAAATTCACAGTTTGGCAACCCCTCATAAAATAAAGGGTTAAACCAAGCGTCATCAGTAAAAAGTGATGGGAAACTGTATAATGGATTGATTCATAATGCACCTATTGATCAATCTTACCCTTAAACATAAAACAAGTTCACATTATGCATCTCTTAA